TTGCATTATCTTTCCAATCACCTTAAATGGAAATTTTTTGATTATGAAATTTTGAAGTGAGGTTATTTTCGTAGGTGCTAAACTTTGTACTTAGGTTAACCTGTAATTAGTAATTAGCATAAGAGGTTATTCATAAATATTCACCTAGACTGACCTGGTTATGAGACAGATTAATATGATAGGAGATTTTATAACATTACTTTGATTTCTTGATCAGTTGATTGCCAGAGAAGTTGCCTATTCCTTGAAAACCAAACAAGGGTCCTACTTTCACTAAAATTAAAGAGAACCTATTTATAATTGGTTAAATTATGATGGTGTATATGAGAAGTTACTGATGTCAGCTTAGTATCTTAGAGGCTGTACTTAATAAACCAATTATTTGCTAGCGGTTTCGATCTATAATGCCCGAAAATTAGTGTTGATTGTCTGAGGCTACTTTTATGTGGTTTCGACAGTATTTTAATTGTGATTTGTTCTACATAAAAAAATGTGGCTTATTTTGTTGGAATTGGTGATGCTTGTTAGCACAGAAGAAAATTACTTATTCTCTTATGATTTTCATTGTTCCTAAGATCTTTTCCTTAAAAATTTGAAGTTTTCATTTTTAGATTTCAAATATTTTCTTTTATTTAGATATCTGTCAATGTATGAACTGGCTATCTTAATAATGTTCTTTGGATGTAATTTGTAGGGCAATGCTAGAAAGTTGTTTGACAAACGGTGGGATAACAACAGCTATCTGGGCAAACTTTCAAAATTAGGACTTGCTCCTCTGCTTTGGTGTATAATATTCCTGCTGCTTATGGCATATATACATTCAGTTATTATGGGTAATTATCCTGAATTATCTAATGATAATTGGGCATGCAGCCATTTCCTTAGCTGAGCTAAGATAAATGCCAGTTTTAAATTATTCGAGGTAAGAATTAGTGTTACTTGGTTATCTATGCAGCTTCAAATCTACCAAGATTAACAGCTGGCTTTGGTCTTTTCGCATGGATGGGTGTATTCTTGGCGACAGCTGGTTTAGTTCTATTTTATAGATGTAGCAGGTCAGTTGGAAGTTATTTCCAATGTTTAAACATATCTCAAAACCAAAACTTAAAGGCTATCACTGTTGTGAAAACTGTTGTTATTATTGTTGTTGCTATGGTTGGAGGCTTATTTTGTAATATGCCATCATCTGACTATTATCTTTTTTTTTTTAAATAAAATTTTATCTGATTGTATATTTTAAAAACTCATTCAAATAGAGATGCTGTTGCTTTTATGATGTTGAAGTAATGCTATACCCTCTATCCCACAAGGATAGGCTTGTCTAGTTCTATTCCATCATTGTTGTTGGAATGTTTTAAGAATATTTTCCTAATTACACTTTAAGTTAATTCTTAATACATTTTTATGATTATATTATTTTGATATCTATGCAATAAAATTATGGCAAGGGGACCTAAATTTTGACCTGTTGTTTGTATGGGCCAAAAGCAGTTAGTAACCAATGTTATCTTTGTGGGACTGATAATTGATGGTGTGAATTACTTCGTGATTAAATGAATCTGGAGCTATTGAGTGTATCGCTGTACTTTTTATATGTTCCTTGATTATAAATCATCATGCAACTAGATTATTTAGAAGTATGTTTCTTCTCTGTCATTCCTCGCACTTCCTGTCTTAATATGTGTGAGAAGCAACTTTTCTGACTGTTGCTGCCTTGAGATTGTTCAATGAGCATTCCCTTTTCTCCTCTTTTCCTTTTCACATTTGTAGCAAGGATCCTGGCTACATCAGAATGAACATACATGATCCAGGAAACATGAAAGATGATGTAAGTCACAACTCCTGAGCATTAATCTCTTTTAATTGAAGTGTATGTATATATAAATATAAATATATATATACTTCTGAGCCATGTTTGTAGAAGTTTCAGATGAAAACTTATTCCACCATTACATTTCATTTGATAGTTGATCTTTTATTTACCTTTCGTTGTATTATACTCTTATTCCTATTCTTATTCTTAATTTTGTTTTGGCTTTAGGAACCTTTGCTAAAGATTGACATCAGTAATCCAGCTTTGCTTGCTGGAAATTGGTCTCAGCTTTGTGCAACTTGTAAGGTATTATTATTCTGTAATATTTTGTAGTACCTGTGCTAAAGAGAAGCGGCAGCAGTTTCCTGCCAATTGTTTTTAATTGGAACTTCTCTAATTTACTGCTTCATGAAACTCTTGTGCCTTATCAGATTGTTCGGCCTCTTCGTGCAAAACATTGTTCCACGTGCGATCGTTGTGTTGAACAATTTGACCACCATTGCCCCTGGGTTTCCAATTGCATTGGCAAGGTGTCTTGAATCGAGTTTTTTTGTTTCCTTTTTTCTTTTTTGGGTTCGAACTGCACTGCTTGTGGCTAGTTTCTGTTTTGTATGGCAATTAATTTAAGACATTGTTGCCCATGAGGTTCCCAGTGGAATCATGATGATGAAACTATGTTCTCATCATTGCCACTTGGGTTTCCAAATTTCGGAGTGAAGTAGCCCCTAATTTGCTGTCGGTCCCAAGTGTTGATAATTTGTGTGTCATCTTCTGATTTTTTTTTATTTTTTTATTTTTATTTTTTTTTTTATTTTTTTTATATCATTTGGAACAGAAAAACAAGTGGGATTTTTTCTTGTTTCTTGTTCTGGAAGTTCTAGCAATGTTGATTACTGGAGCTGTCGCTCTTACAGGTGAGATTTATCTTTCCGGTTTCTTTTTTGGCCTTTTTTTAACATGAAAAATTTTTAGACATTGCTGCAAACATGAAGGAGTGTATAATCCAGCTTATCAATGAAAACTATGTCATAATTATGGTTTATCAATGAAAACTATGTATTGCAGGAGTATTGACTGATCCGTTGGCTCCATCTACATTTAGTGCATGGTTGAGCCATGCCGGCAATCAACACATTGGTGCTTTAGCATTTATACTTGCAGATTTTTTCCTCCTTTCTGGTGTCGGAGTCTTGACTTGTGTACAGGCCTCTCAGGTATATACTTTACAGGCTCTTTCTGCTTCATGCCAACTGATTCACCTTCGCATTCATTCCTCAAATGCATATTGTTAGTGCCTTTGCTACACTAACTATAGGATTCTGGGATTTCAAGATGGCTAGTGTCTTGCACCAACTGCAAAAGCACGAAATTACTCTGTAGTGTTATGCATTCGTTAAGCCAAGTGTTCAGTTGGTGGTAGTATCCTGTGTTAACTTTCATTCATAACTACTACTTTTCTAAAGTCCTGTATATCATTATTCATTTAATAATTCATCTGTCTAAGCATTTATAATTAAGAAACATGGATTTTTTATTTTAATTTTTTTTTGGGAAAACTGTAAGTCATCAGTCCTCGCACTTTAGGAATAATACGTTCTGGTGGTATGTTCTCATAGTTAATTCGTTAAATGTCTTATGCACATCTGTTTTACAAGTGAAGAAAGTAGTTTATGTATCATGTTTGTATACGCACCTCCTTTTCTCTTTTTTTTTTTTTTATATATTTTTTTATTTTTATGTTTAGGGGACAAGTGAGATTGTATACTTCACTCAGTATGCAATCTAATAATTCTAATTCATTTGAGCTTGAATATGAATTTTGAACGTATTCCTGAATAACATAAGTCAGTCAGAGAAATGCAGTTTTAGTACTTTCTCCCAACCTATCCCAATCTCTCTATCTGAAATTGAATAATATAATGCTACAGATTGCTCGTAATATTACTACCAACGAAATGGCAAACATAATGCGGTACAGCTACTTAAGAGGACCGGGTGGCAGGTTCCGCAACCCATACGATCATGGCTGCAAGAAGAATTGCTCAGATTTCTTGATAAACGGGTACAATGAAGATGTAGAGTGTTGTAATGGAGATTCGAGGGAATCTGACGGAATTGGAATGGTACACTTGACTCGAAATGCAAACCTTCCGAATGGTGATGGCCATACACACCAAACGAACGGTAATGGTCATCTTGTAATTGATGTGAAAAAGAACTCCAATCCACATCAAGGGCACACCCATTCTTCTCATTGCAGTCATAACCGTGGTCAAAGTCAGAATCAGAGTCAGAGTCAGAGTAGTGTCCCTTTAGGTTTGGGTATTGGTTTGGGTCGAAGTGGGTCTCGTCCTGCCGTGGTATAAATGATAGTATATTGTGTTGTTTGAGGTACTGGAAATGATTTTCTTGGTTCTTAGTCCTGCCATAATCTCATGCAGATGTGTTTTGTTTAAATCTTCGGTCATATATATATTTTTTCGTCTAATCGTCATTGTTGTAACAGGGAAAGAATAAGTTTCCGGCAGCAGTTTTTTTCCTTTGGAACTGAATCGTGTATATTTTTCGTTGTTTTGTTATTTCCGGCTGGAGCAAAAAGAAAGGTAAAAGGCGAAAAGAAAAAAATAAAAATGAGGTGTTTGTGTTTGAGGCTGTGTTTTGTGTTCCCTGCCCGGTATCCTTTACCTGGCTTTAGCTGTGCGCTGTTCCTCCACATTACCTGAATAATTGATACAATCATTTATCATCACTGCAAGTTGAAAATAGTTTTAAAAGTAAATGCAAAATATAAATTTAATGAAATTAAATTAAATCAAATTTTACACATGTGGAGGTTTTGTACACACGTGGAAATCATTTTTCCACATATGCAGGTTTTAAAATCGATGAAGAACGTGTGTGTTTTTACAAAGTTGCTGACATATAGCTCCCTTTCTCTAAATGGAGTTGCTGACCTCGATGAATGTGAGCATATAGCTCCCTTTCTCTAAATGGATTGGAAGCATAAGTGATGGGACCATTTAAGAATAAATTGATGATTGTGGTAATGTACCATTTAAGAATAAATTGATGATTAATGTAGATATTCCTTCTGATATTTTGCTTAAATGCGATGGCAGTCCTATTGAGACGATTGTGCATAATACGTATCTGATGTTCAAAGATGTAGTTGTTAATCCTAACTATTTGAAGTATCGAGCAATACTGGCCCCGACACTTGAATTTGTTAATCAATAAACAGGTACATGGCTTCTTTAAATATGTCAGATGGACAGACATTTATCAGTTTTCAACGAGGCTCGGTAGTCATCTGTTGCAATCCAGAGTTTAACAGGTTTGAACAATAGATAATTACTTCTTATACCCAGAATGAGTTTGATTCCATCAGATGTAAGAATTTCTTATGCATGGCGAGTAAAAAGAGTCAGTGTCAATCTCTTTCTCATGTTGGTTTATCCCTGAAGAAACATGAATTTACGCATGACAAGCTTTATGTTGTTTCATGAGTCACAAATAGAAAAAGGTTGAAATATTAATTTGTGACGATGAAAACAGCTCGTAGACAAATTGTTACATATAGAAAGTGTTTAATAATGTGTAATAATCAATTTGTAAAATTATTATTTATATTTTAATGATTATATTTGTAGCTCTCGTGCATTTGCACGGGTAAACCGTACTAGTTGAAATAAAGTAAAAGACGTACCTTTTTCAGTCGCAAATGCAATGCTACTCCTCGGGAATTGTAGTTGAATCAAGGAAATTCCTATTTCGGCCAGATGATGTGTCCTTGTATTTCATTGCATCGTTATGTACTCATCTCCTGTTTTGAAAGTGTATTACTTTTTGGCGTTGGGCAGACAAATGGTTGCAAATACATATAAAATTTTTGTCACATTTTTCCTCATTGGGTACCTTCGTGAAATGTCTTGTGCATATGTCGGATTCAACCCTTGACCCCCGTCGGCGGCCATTCGAGTATGTTGAGGTTGTTTACACCTCCACCTTGAGTAGGATGGAAATCATCTTCATAGGGTATCCTTCGTTCTTCTCGAATTGTAAGCTCTCGTGGATTTCATTAATAAAGTGAAAGACGCGTTCGATCGTCTCTGGATCAACATCATTCGGTAGGAGACAGACCATCTTGGTATATCGTTTGCGTCGGCGTCGGCAATGGAGGTTCACTCAAAGATGCGCCTACATTGTTACGCTTTTGTGGTCGATCACCAACACCACCACAACGAGCACTCGACATTTAATAACTTGAAAAAAAGATTTTATAAAAAAATAAAAGATGCAAAAATGATAGAAATTAGAAAAGAGAGACTAATATGTAGAGAATTTGTAGAAGTGAAACTGAAATGAGAATGAATTTATATAATCAAAACCTAATTTATATAGAATCGAACAAATTTTATTGAGAACTAAGCACAAAATCTAAAAAATATCACTTTAAGATATTATAATTGAGAGGAAGAAAGTGAGAGACAGTTTAATATGTTGTGAAAATCCTAGGTATTTATAGATTTTTTTTTGGCTTTTTTTTTTAATTTCTAAATTGTTGGTTCCGGGTTGGCCCAACGGTTCATACGGTTCAAACCAGTCCTGACCGTTGACGATTCCGAGCGGGCCGGATCAAACCTGGAATTGAACTCGGAACCGTATTTAATAAAAAAAATAGATGTTGGATTTTCAACAGTAAAAAACAATCTAAAAATACAGGATTTATTTGACCAGCTGATCGTCAACGATTCCGGGCCAACCCGACCCAAAAGTTAAAAAAATTAAATATGAAAATTTGCAAACAAAAAAAAAAATGTAAAAATTGTCGGGCCTCCTAGGGCAGCTCTGGACCCAACCTGAACCGAAACCAACGATTAATAAATTTATTAATTTGTGAACCTATGCAGGGCTGGCTAAACCACGGACCCGATTTCGATCCCTCGATCAACAGGCTTGATCGAACCAGTTCTAGGCCAAGCTCGGATTTGTTTGGATCGTGACCATGTTTACATGCCTTGCTAAGTGTCGATACGAGTGTTGTTTTACCAAAAGCCCATATAAACAGAAGCACTGTAGTAAGAACACCCACAATGCATTGAGTCTCTTAATAAAATATTATGTCACGTACGAAATAGACTTAGTTTATAAAAAAATGTCTCCCCATGCAATAAAAAATGAATATGGTCTAGCTTATGTGACAATCAAGAAAAGAGACCAAGTCCACTCTTGGGTCTATTTCGGACCCAAATACAAACCTAAACCCTCAACATTTATTCTTAATTTATTTTTTTTTAATAAATGAAACATATTAGAGCATTTTTATTGGTTGACAAGTATTCTAAACTTAGTATTTTATTTTTTGCACTGAATAGCTTTTGAGTTTTTTTTTTTTTT